ACTGAGCACCTATGGCCTATTATCACGTCAAGTGTCTAATTTTTACAGTCAAAAAAATTTACAGAACTATGATTCATGAACCGTCTCTACATCAACTTGATTTCACCACATTCACTAATAATATATAGATTAATAGCCAACTCAGTGCTGTTACCTTCATTCTTTACAAACACGAACAGAAAAGCGAGTGTATAAGAAATAAAAGAATCGAGCAATACGAATTCAGAAGGCCTAAAAAAAAATAAAAGAACACAAGTTCGACTAAAAATTGAAACCTCACACAATCAAACTCCTAACGCTTTTCTCCAATGATGAAAAATTCCAACCCCTGTCACCCCGCTGAAAAAATTGTAATAAACACTGTACCCATTTGACGCACTTACCTTCCAACATTTTTTTCTGCTTATACATTTCCCTGCTTCTTAAAAATGAGCTTGTCATTGTCATAGCTCAAAAGAAGCTCATCTACTCCTTTCTTATTTTTTATAAATTGAGGTTGTAAAGCACATCTCCTTCAATTATACCACCTCAGATAACCATACAGTCAAATGTAAGTAAACTGAACTTCTTCTACGTGTGGATTCGAAGAAATCCAGTTTACCTACACATAAACTTCCTCACTTCCAATCTCATCTTTTTTTGACCACCATCTGAAGACTACATAATCAGAAGACTCCTAAATCCGACGAATTTTAGATGCTCAATGCTTTGCGACTCACTTAGTTTGCTTCTTTCGCTTTTTTAGTCAGAAACCTGTATCAAGCTTCCTTTATTGGCTCATACATAATTTAGAACGACAGGTATGGATAATATCTCTGAGTCCCCTCTGAAGCTGCTGTAAATACTATTTTAACCCTTTTTATATATTCTCTCACCGAACTAAAACACAAAATGAGCTAATTACACTAACCTACTCAAGTAGTTTATCCCGCTGACAATCCATAAAGACAGAAGAATAAAGAAAATATAGTGAATCACAAATAGAAATGAACATAAATTATACGCTTATGTTACACCTAATGGCTGCCACATCAGCAGCCTAAATTTTGTTACCAAGACATTCATATTTTAGCAATGACTTACGTGGAAAAACACCGATAAAGGCTGTTCCTAACCGGATTCAGTACACTCGTTTAAGCAACGACACTAGAAAGCGTGAAGCATACAAAAATTTACGTAAAGTAGCGATAACTTCTCACGAAAAAACACATCACTCAAAACGAAATATCACAAGGAAAAACACATCATTGAAAAAGAAACATCAGTCCGTGAAAAAATATAATACCAGAAAAACTGAAAACCAGAGCCACCAGTTACTGCACCTCAGAAATGGTCGCTCCACTACAATATCCTTCCCTAATTCTCTAAAAAAAATTTATTCACGGGGAGGGGGGGGGGCAACATTGCAGATAAACCTGTCCCCACCTCATCAAAAAACTTTCCAGTTTAAAAGTTTCAGATTTCGAAAGTCTCACTTTTAAAATTAGCAGTCGAACGGGACTACAGGCTTTTATAGTAGTGGCACTCATCCCTTATGCAAAACGAACCTTTGATGAACTTCAATTTTTTACTCCCCACTCGCCTATAACAACGTAATAACGGACCTGCTCCGCCTGTCATGTCCGCAAGTAGTCTAACAGTTAAATAACAAAGTGCGAACGCCGGGAACTGGTTTTATAATCTGGGATCTTGTAGGTTCTTGGAACTCCCACAGCCTCTTAGTATGTAGGGTTAATTGGAGGGATGATTAGTTGTTGAAAATGGCTAGCATTTCATTGACTGCTACTAAAACTAACTCTGATTCACACCTGAAACTGCGATGAAAACGCACCACACCAAGTCTGCGATCTGGAAGGGCCTCACGTTGTTATCATTGTATTTTAAGATGATGAACGTCCCCAACTAGAGGGGGAAGTACTTTCAGTAAAGAATACCTGGTTATGGTGCTAGCAATTGTGACTAAAAAAAGTGTGTAGTTTTAGCAAAAATCTAACCAGGAAGCTAGGGAGAATGTTCAATAAACTTATTTCTTTCCAAATGGTTTTTTTTTTCTCGAGACCAAGAAATGGATTTTTGCAGGTTTTTAAAAATGTAGAAATAGCAGATGAAAATCCTTGAGCCTTTATACCGCCAACGCCTTTCCCTAAAAATCGGTTAAGAAGAAGTAATCATTACGGGCTACGCACTTAATTAAATGGTGCTTAGCACACACGGTCAAAATCTTAAAATAATCAGATTATTAGTTTTTTTTTT